CTCTTTCTCTTTTCCTGTCTCTCTCATATACACATCTGCACTTTTTCGCACAGACACTCACCACACTAAATCTGGAATACAATGAAATCGGAGATCTCGGAGCAAAACATCTGGCTGATGCATTACAACATAACACGGTGACTCTCTTTCTCTCTTCTTCTCTCTCTCATATACAGATCTCCATTTTTTCACGTAGACACTCACCATACTAAATCTGGAATACAATCAAATCAGAGATCTCGGGGTACAGCATCTGGCTGATGCATTACAACATAACACGGTGACTACCTTCCTGTCTTCTTCTCTCTTTCATATACACATCTGCATTTTTTCACACAGACACTCACCGCACTAGATCTTTCGCCCAAACATATCGGGGACAGCCTTCGAACATTAACGGAGCGGAATAAACAACGAACAAAATCGTGAGCTTTGATTTCGAAGGTGGTGGAATGAAGAACTCTAATTTCTAGTTGAATATATGATTTGGTTTTTTTCCTTGTGGGTCTATTTATAAAACGATAATAAAATCTTTGAATTTTCTACTTGATGTGCTTGATAAGTGAAGATTTGGCGGTAGCTCTCGACAATGTGGATAATCATTGGTTTGGGTGATTTAGAAAAATGAATCGTATGAATATCTAATTTAGATTCTGGTTGATATGAGTTCGACTGTCGAACGATGAGTAACTTCGAAGTTTTTTCTTTATGACACAAAGAATGTGGTTTTTGCTGTTATTAATAATGGCAGCTCCCAAATGAACATGTTTATAGGAGACTTGGAACCGGCTAAGCTTCTTTTCAACCGATCAGGTCGGTCTTTTGAAATTTTTGATGTCATCGTTGAAAAACAATTGAAAAACCGGTGGGTTAAGTCACAGAATTCCACTAGTGAGATAGTAGCTACACCTTACATATCAACTACCAAACGATCTCTTTCGAGAAATGGTTTAGTAACACAGCTTGACAAACAGATTGAGTGAAATTCATATAGCTCGTGAGATTTGTAAAACCAACGTTGTTTATGTAATCTGTCATATCGTCTACACACCAATCACTGAGAAGCAATGGAAAACTATTTCAAAAATTGTCATGTAGTATCTTACAACAATTGATATAAAACAATATATGTACCTCATTTTTGGCTGATTTCGCTTCACAAAAAAAGTGATAAATTTGATGTTTTCTTATTTGAAATCATTATTCAACGTACGTGAGAGTAGGCAGCTATTTTATTTTTTGTTATCTTGAAAAATCAAAAAAAGTGGCACCCTTACTTGAAGAAATTTCCAATTCCTCGACTCCTATTGCCGATCGGAAAATTAAATGAGATAGGAAGATAGATTTTCAAATAGACTTTATTTTTTTGAGATTTATTTTATTAAGACCTAAGTTTTTATGTGAAGTTGTTTAATACTAGTGTGGGAGAAAAGTTTCACATTTAAAATAAGATTTGGTTTGATATTGAGGCTATTAGAATATAGTCTGACACTTGCTGGCAGTTAAGAGTTTTTGACAATCAGCGAAAAACAGTTCAATAGTGAACTTGGAACTTTTAGATTAGACATTTTCATGTTTACACCATGTTTAGGTTCGAAATCGGTGAGTAACTTTTCTTAACATCATCAATGCATTCATTATGCTTCGAAATCGCTCATTGTGAAATAATAAATGCTAGATCACAATTTTGAACTGAGATTTCGATGCCGACTAGATATTTATTGGCTCAAAGTTTCAAATTTATTTTTTCTCAAACATGCAAATCGAGAAAATCAATAAAAACGAACAAAAATATACTAACTTTGGTACTTTAAAAAGTAATAAAAAACCGACAAAAAACTGATGAAAGGCAGGCAGTTTGAAAGGCTCAACCTGACCAAACCAGTAATCGCCCTGTTCGGTACTGGTTTCAAGGTGGGCTTATAGGCGGCTATGATATATACACTTGTTGGGATGACAAATATATGAGATTCTGTTGTCTTCACTGACACATTCACTGTTGGAATGGTCCATGAAATTAAATAATGTCGATGTGAGAAGACACCCTTTTAAAGTTAGTTTAATTTTACGGAGGCATACTGTTTGGCACTCAAATTGATTGCTAAATAGTTTGAACTTCTTATGTAATTGCATTAATTTTACTGAATATTGATATATATAGGAGTCACTGCACGAGAGAGACGACCAAATGCCAATATAGCTGCTCACTTGATAGTCTCAGATCGTGATGAAAGTTATTCTATTTTGTACAGCAAAGTTTTTTAGGCATAGAACCAAATTTTTAGATTTAAAGGTTGAACTTTCACTGAGATACGCTTATCCGACTAATAGCACCCAAAATAGAGTTTTGTTAATATGAGAAATTTTTGAT